CACCATACTCAAGACTCACACCCTGTGCCTGAGGGCATTGCTCAAAAGCTTCTTGAGATCTGTCAGGCTGGTGCTGTGACCACTTGCCTGGGGAGCCTGTTCCAGTGCCCAAACACCCTCTGTGTGAAAAATCTTTTCCTGATATCCAGCCTGAACCTTCCCTGACACAACTTCAGGTCTGCCACTGGTCACTACCTGCCTTTCTGAAATGCATGTGCCCAAACACTGTGAGATACAACTATTTTGACAGATATTTCTAGCTTCGCTCCCCTCCTTCTTGCTAGAAATTCCACAGAAACATTGCAACTGTCCTCCAAATAATAATGCTTAAATTCCAAAGAATTTGGAATTGGCACCATAAACATCTATATTCACTTCTTCCATTTCAACTGCCATGACATTTGATGCTTACATCCACGCTGTTCCTGCTAACAGGACTGTGGAAGTCTACCTCTGCACCACACATTTTCACTTGCTGCCACAAGAAGGGATATTGATCTGTGTATCTCTGCTCACACAGCAAGGCTTTCCATTTTGGAGCTGTGATATTGTCGTACTAAGAGGACAAGGAAAAGATCAATGATTTCTAACAATGATCACTTTTAAGAGGAAGAGCATTGGTAAAATGACTTACTAGTCCAAGTATCACATTGGCAGTCTCTGCAATAAGTTATATATCCTGGCAGGCATTAACTCCATTGCTTTTGATAAAAGCAGCATACTGGGAGAGAATCACCCACTTTAGAAATGTTACTGACTATGGCATGTGATGGTATATGCTTTATATAGAGTTGGTTGCAGCCTTACAAAACTGTGTAAGAAGTGCCAGGGCCCTAGGAAGGCTGGGGGCTCCACAGAGACATCCCTACAGCCCAGCTGAGAAGCAGAGTATCTGGGAGGCACCAGGGGCAACCCCATCCCATGGCATCAGGTACCTCTGTGGAGCAGTGGAGCCATGGCCAGGCAGGGCAGAGCTGTGGGGAGCTGGAGAGCATCCCTGCTGCAGCATCACTGGGACAGAAGCTGACGGCTCTGGGGGCCCTTGAGAGGCCTTGACAAGAAGTTGTACAAGGCATCTCAAGAAACATTTCAATTACTAAGAATTTGGAAGCTGGCTTACTCCATAAAGCTACTGGGATTTTTTACTTCCTTCTGTGGCCCCCAAAACATACAGCAGCAACACACCTCATGGTTTATTCACCACTGTGTGAAGTAGCCAGGTACTGCATTTGCCAGTTTTTCTCTAAATGGCCCTCTGTTACTTTCTGGAAAGACACAAAGAAAAGGTGCTCCCAATGAGACCTCTTCTGATACACATTACTTCAAAAATTTTGATCAAGTCCCTTCTGAATGAATTTAATTTCTTGAACCCACTACCAAGCCATCCTCCCAGGGAACCTTGTAAAATGCATTATCAAAATCTTCCCTGCCATGCAAGATCACATTCACCCTATAACTCTCCTGCACCTCTGCACAGTCTGGGGGACGTGGATGAAAACACACAAAAAAGCAGAAAGGAGTCAGAACTACAAATCTTTGTCTGACAGCCTTGGAAAATGAGAGGGCCCTAAGAACAAGACATGGAGAGAAAGAAAGATACAGAAGACTGAAGCTCACAATCAGGATCCTTCTGGCCAGGACATTTGCTGAAGGTGGCCTCTGGCCAGCCCAAAAGAGATGCACAGGAGAAGAGATCCTTTGCAGTGAGGGGCACTGAAGGCAGAAGCAGAGGTGACCTGAAGGAAAGCAGCAAGGCATGCTTGCAAGGTCTTCAGTTCACAGGATGGACAGCAGCCTCTGCTGGGTGCTGATGGACAACCTCACATCCTGAGCAATAAATGAAAGGGTGAGTGACTCCTTTTAAAAGGAGTAGTCAAGGGCAGAAGTGAAAATAAGCAAATGTGCATCTGCACTTGCCTCTGCAGGTTCGGTAGAGAGGTGGAAGCTCTTTGACTGCCAGACAAGTGGCTTTACTGAGGAACAGTGTCCCATTTGCAAAATTGGAGGCTATGATCCTGACCTTCCTTGTAGAGCATTTTCATAAATACAGATGGAAATAACCAGCCCTAGGTGGTGATTCTGATCATGATTTATTCTGCTTTCTGACAAGAGGAGTGTACAAGCACTTTGAGATGAAATGTGTCTGCACATTTAATATTAATTTATGGAAAGTACTCATGTGCAGTCTTGACATTTGTTTTCCACATAAAACAGCAACAGGAAACTCAAGCCTTTGAATGTTTATAAGAAATGAGCACACATGCAAACAATGCTGACAGAGGATGATTTTCTTTACAATCTGAATATTTTCACTTCTTTTGCATTTCTCATTTGTCCTTATTCAGCGCATTTTAACCTGCAAATGTTTTCCTCAAAGGTCATAGGAAACTCAGATTGTCAGATAAAGCTGAGGCACTGCAAAGATTGTACTTGGTAACACAGACTGAAACTGATAAGAGATATATGTAGAGAAATCTTACAGAGGTCCGACCATAGTGTAAAAGTCTGAAAAAAGAATCCTCCACTCATCAGTGGGGACCCTTAACCCTATCCACCATAAACTAGAAGACCCAAGTTAAAAAGGAAAAGCCATATTAATTATCAAACATGAATTGGCTCCATGAAATAGTCTCTCATATCTATATTTCCAGACAGTCCATGGCAGCAAGGTTACACAAAACACTTCAGTCTGGCTGACACAGCCTAAAACTCAGTACTGAGTCCTTCACTGAACTGCCATGACTGTCCACAAACACATGTAGAGCAGCTACAAATCTTACTTGCTCTGCAGAGCGCTTGGATAAATCCCTCCTTAGAGTAGTCCTCAGGATGACTGAACTATAAAGCTGGTGGGTGCCAGTGACCACTCCAAGACCTGCTGTCTCACTAATGATCTCAAGTCCCTCATCCTCACAGGGAAGCAAGATACATTAAAAATACAGAGAGAGGAGACTCTCTCCTGAAGAGGAAAATAAGCTTTTCTGAGTGTCCCATCCAGCAGTTCAGGGAAGTACTAAAGGGAAGAAAGATGAAAATCAGACAAACAGCTTTTGTTCCTTTTTTTGTAAGAACTGCTAAGCTATTTTGCATTAAAGAGATGTTCTTTTGTTAAGGGTAACTCCATGGCTACCAGATCTCTCTTAGCAATGTCATACATGGATGTTTGTCATCTGCTGTGTTAGACTTTGTCCAAGCTCAGTCTCCTTGATATCAAGCAAGAGTGACTTGTAGGTCCTAGTCCAGGTGTTGTGCCATTTGTATGCTTTGCATTCTGGGCACAGAAACAGAGGAACTGAATCTTGAGGCTCTTTGTTTTCTCATCCGTTGTTTTAATGAAGCAGAATAATTCCATTACTTTATACAGAGGGAGCAGGCAGTCTGTCTTGTCCTTCTGAGGTCTGTTTGCTGGTTCATAATTTGCAGTGGTGATCTTGAAAAAGCTTGCACAGTTTACAACCAAGCACTCTTCAGAAAGGAGATATATCACAACTAAGCACTCTTCAGAAAGGAGATATATCACTGAGAATTACTTGCTTATCAGGTCGGTCTCCCTATCATCCAGTGCAAAAGTCCTGCAAGATAATTTTCATTCCACCTGGTGTCCTAAATCCACGTCACTCTGATGTTTGCAGTAAAAGAGTTCATTTTATTTGCATCCTTGAAACTCCAGCCACACCTTGGTACCCAGCGACCCTGGTTGCCTTGGCTGCAGAGAGATGGCAGGGGCATGTCAGGATCTTGTGCCAGCAAAAGAAGCAGCAATAGAATGAAAAAGGGAGGAGGATGCTGTACACACAAGACATCCAGGAAAGACGTTATGCAGGTTACTAAAAACATCCTGCAAGAGAAGCAGACTTCCAGGTATTTTTTCAGAGATTGGCAGTGTCTGAAACATCACAGGATGATGATGTTGTGACTACTTTAGTACTTCAGCATTTCCACTAGGAAACAGCTCACAAGGTGCTTACACTGAAAAGCAGTAAACAGCTGGCTGGAAGTTAGAATGGCAACAGCAGCAATGGTCCACAGGAGAGATCCAAGCACCAAGCACAAGCATGCACTGGCAGCATTCGAAACACATAACCAACTGTGGCTCACCCCTTAATATAGGCTTTCAGCTGGATCAGTGAAGACTCAGTTCAGAGAAGTGATGGGATAACACACATGCTGACAAGTTTGTCAGCCACTAGACTTCTTTAAGGATATTGATGCACCCTGATCTGTCTCTCCTACCCCACGCTGCACAGGCACATCCTTTGCTCCTTACGGTCTGTGTTAATGGATCATCAAAGATTTTTCTCTCTGGTGTACTGCTTTGAGACACCTTTGCAGCAAATTACATGGCATCAGTCAGCAAGAGACAAAGGTCACACATCCAGCTGTGAAGTGGGCTAGTAACATCATACTGCATGGTTCCTAAAACCGGCTGCAGTAATGGGGATAATGTAAAGGACTGACATAATGGCAATCTGACGATTTAGTGTTGCTATGCAACTTGAGTTGGGAACACACTTTTGCAGTTGCTTCTTAGTTGTCCATTGAATGCTCACTGACAGTGTCTGGCAACCTTCCCCACTCATCACTTTACCTAAAGCAGCAAGAATTCATGTGCAGCTTTTGTGCCCAGGTGCCCTCTTCAAGTCACTAGTGTAAGCAAACTGAGATGAAGATGCTTGCAATGCTTTTTCCATCCTGAATGAGATTCCTGTTGTGCTACACACACACATAAATGGCTACATGCCTTCACACACATTTCTCTTTCCTCTGATTCATTGCAAATCTTCCCCTTTTTCCTCCTTTTTCACCTTAAGGTCATCATGAAGATGACCTTCTTGTCAAAGAAGAGCACTGCCTCTGGAAGCTTTTCCCTGGCCATGTCACAGCTATTATCACACCCATTCACACTATTTTATAACTTTGTACATGTGATTCCTTCAGACCTTTCCATCTTTCTCCCAACTGTTTTTCAGACTCATACAAAGTGGGAATAGATGCAGTACTTGCTCCATCTTGTTTTATTAATCTGCCCTGAAAGTGCCTTGACCTGTCTTGAAACGACCAGTTCTAAAACCCTCAAGCAATGATGCCTTCAGCCCTTTCCTTGGGACTCTGAAAGACTGACAAAACTCAGTGGTTAAGGAAGCTGACCTGCTCATCTCCCTTGCTGAAACCTGACTGCTCCTAGTGACGTCTCCTTGTGCCACCCTCAAAAACTTGCCCTTGCATCCTGGTATTACCTGAACACCAAGGTGATGGCTATTCTGCATCATGAGTAATTCATTCCCTATGATCCTTTATTATCACTTCCCAGACCTCTGTCAATTTATTGCTTTTCTGTGAATTCCTGTGCTTTCCACAATCTGTTTTGTGGTGTTGCTTGTGTGATGTTTAATAGCCGCAGCTCGGAGTTGGCTGCATTTCAGTGGTGGGAGGGGGAACACAGGAACTGTGAACTGAAACTCCGTATAATGTTGCTAGAGATGAGAACAAGTAAGGGAGTGTTTGCTATGCACGCTATCTCCAGAAAAACATCTTTGCAAATGTGTATCTGTGCAGGCATTGTGGAGATAGGGATTACGTTATGCAGAGGGGAAGAGGAGCTGACTGACAGTAGAGATTTGCAGTCCATATTGATGTTTCACAATTGTACATCTGTCTGCAGAACAGCCATGAAGCTCTCGAAGTCATTGCACTAAAAAAAAAAAAAAATAAGGAAAGACAAATCAATAATTTTACTCACCCTTTTATCACAGAGGGTGAAGGAGGAGTGTGTCATAACAGCTCATACTAGTGCGAAAATTTTAATCGAAACAGTCTTCAACCAGAATACACCACTTTGATAAAATCAACATTTTTCAAAATATTCTAAGTACAAATGAAAAATCCCTATGTAAAAGGAGGCTGAAACAAAAATTTCAATACTGAAAAGTTTGCCTTAAGGAAAAAAATGACAGATTTTCTTTCAAATTAAAATACTATTTTTGAAAGCAACCTTTTAATTTTTTAACATATTTTTCTGCTTGTATTGTTTTTATGTTCTTCAGTTAATAATGAGAGACATTGATGTGTTCAATATCCTGCCATTAGCCTGGAATCAGGTTTCCAGGATATTAAAAACAATTGGTCCCTAACTAGTACCCAGAACATTTCTATTTCAGAGTGCAAAAATTTAAATTGTTTCATTCAGCACAGACTAATAAAGCTCCTATTGCTTTTGATAGCAAACTCATTACTTTGTAGAAAAAGCACTTGTTTTGAATATAAAGTATCACCTGTACTAAATTATATAACAATATTTAATTATTATATTCATGGTATGTTATGTTACTGGTAGGATTGCATAACGTGGCCTCATATGAGACTTGACTTGGCATAACTGAACTCTGCATTTCAACTGATATGTGAAACGATACCAAAACTTCACTAATTTTTAAAATAAAATATCAGTTCTTTTTCTAAAAGTATCTAATTAAAATGTTCATAATTTTTAGTTTCTAGGAATACACTGAAAACAGTATTTTTATCACTAAAAGGAACAAGATGCCTTGAAATCATAAACTTTGACATTTCTCTCAAATGAACATTTCATGTTTCCTCTGGCTCTCACTTAACCTGTGATTCATTCTTTGTACTAACTCTATATCTCCCGATTTGGAATAGTTTTCAGATTGGAGGCCTTGTCAAAAGCAATCATCATAAATTCAGCATGCACTTTATCGTAGCTGGTTCTACCAGCATTTGTTGCAAGATAAAGCAGCTCATCGGTACTCACTTTCATCCCAATATTAATTCTTTTCTATGCACTCACAAGGATCTCAAAATTATCCCCATCAGAATATGCAAATGAGGATAAAAATAAATCAGGATAAATTACATCAATCTTGCCACCCAACCACACCCAAGAACACAGAGGATTTCAAGGCTCCCACCACAGCCCTGCTCACAAGATCCTGTTGCAGGGAGGACCCGGGATGGGACTGACACTTCGCCTCCATTCCTCTGCTCACCCCATGGCGCATCAGAAGAGCTTGGACTTCCCTTTCTAGCATGTGAAGGCAAGAAGAAAAGAAAAAGCTCTCCCTTCTGAAAGCACAAGTCCTCTCCTTCCTGCCATCGGCAGCTGCAGTGGAACTGCAACCCAAGGCTTCCACCTAGTGTCTGCCGGCCAGCGCCGCACAGCAGCCCGCCGCAAGGCTGGGCCAGGCTGCCCCGGAGCCCGCACCACGAGCGAAGCCTTGGCTCATTGCTGAGGTGGGAATGTTTTCCTTACAATACAAAACCAAACCTCGGCTCGTTATGGACCACCCAAGCTGTCACCTAGAACTAACCAGCTTCTGGTTTACATGTGGAAAATGAGATTATTATTATTATTATTATTTATTGCTTTATTTCCCCATCATACAGACAGTGCTAAAATCCAAGGCTTTAGGTGGATGCAACAGAAAAGAGGAGAAGAGAAGCTTGTTGAATTAGGTAGGACCACTCTCATATGCCCAAGGATATTTTCTTAACCTTTCTCTGGTGCTAACTTGCCTTTGTGGTAAGCCCACAAGAAAATGGAGTGACTTTCTAACATTTCAATTCTACTAATTAAGAGATACTTAAAAATTAGGCATGGTCTTTAGAATTGACATGTGATAGACAGGCACATTTCTTCCTCTTGTGTTTGACTCCTTCCTCCACCTTCATTTCACATCAAGGTGTTGGCTATTCTGCATCATGAGTAACTCATTCCCTGTGATCCTTTTTTTTTTTTTTTTCACTTCCCAGACAACCTTTGCAGACTTGGTGGGACTTTAATCAGAACAAAGAATGAAGGATCTTATCAACAATTGTTTCTGCCTATCCCTTTCTCCATCCTATGAAAAGACAGTGTGTTTGCTGTCGGATTTTGATTTCCTTAAGGGCATCTAAAGCAGGACAATCTTGTTAGCTGTCAAAGCAGCACCCTTTGCGTGTTGTCACCCTTGTACACTCATACAGTGACCTGATACAAAAGCGGCTTCTACCTTCTCTGGTAAGTCCAGCTTTTAAAAATTTCTAGTGCAGGTGTTTCCACGACCTTTCACAAAAGGCAGTTTTAAAATGCTTCTCTTGATCTCTCTGCTTCAGCTTCCCTGGAGCAAGGATCCTTGTGCTTTGGTTTATGTAAGCTAGAGGCTGTGTTCTCCCTCCAACACCTGCTATTAGTCATTTGGGCAAGTGGGTGTGTATATGTAGATCCATACATACACCCATTCACAAGAAAACTCTGTTAAGAGGAGCTCAGAGTTTACAACAGGGCCCCAGAGCTTTTTAGAATACACAGCTTGGAAACTGGAGTCATTTAAAGCCATAAAAACTCACCAAGCCATGAAACCTGATCCAGCATTCCAGTATCCCACTGCTCTGACCTACAAAAGCCCATATTCCTTCAGCTTCCCAGCTGCCTACTCTTTTTATCATGTGCATGAAATTCGGGGTATGTTCTATGGGATTAGAAGACCATTTTAGCTGAATCAGTCTGTGTGCAATGTAAAGGTAAACAAGAAAGGAGAAGCCGCTGATGGAAGAAATGGCTGGAGCTGATGCACACACATTACCCCTTGGGGACGATGAAGGACTGTGCAACACAGACATAGCATCCTGCCACACAAGACCAGCAGACTCTTATGTGGGAGCTCCACCACAGTACTGGTAGGAGCTATAGGGTGAATACAGAGAGTATATTTCATTGACGTCACTAGCCAGCATTACTTAGAACAGGGCTAAGCACAATTGCAAAAAGAACTGCCTCCAAGCTATTCTATTTATATTCCTACCAGAGCTACCATTGGTACAGTCATCCTGCTGCTGAAATCCTGACCCTGTCGTTACCAGTGTAGCCACAGACCAGAGGAGATCATTTTGGATCTTTTCAGAATTTGGCATGTCTTAATACCAGCAAAAGCAGCACTGGCAGGGGGTGGAGTGTGCTATTTGCACAGGACCTGCGTCAGGATTGGCATTCAGTGAATAGCAAGACATATGAAGGCATTTTATCCCAATATAGAGAATAACGCATCTTCCTCTGCGTTGCTGGTGGTAACTTTGGCAGTCCAAGGAACAATGGTAATTGCTTGTTACTGTGGAAACAAGACCTCCAGAAATAACACTAATGAGCCAGCAGGGTCGTGGGAGAAACACAAGCATACTGTCTCCTGCAAACATACATGATTTGGCTGCACAGAGGAGATGGAGCTCTGGGGAAAGGAGCAATTTATTTGAAAGCAACAGGCACCCAGCACAACCTCCATTCATCCCCCAAGCCAGTCTCAGCCTGCAAACAAGTTACGTTACTTGAAAAAAAATGTTCAGATAATTTTGGAAATCATTGCTTTTCACCTTCCTCCCTGCCTTAAATTTTGAGGAAGTTGACTGGGAGATCCTCCCTCCTTTGGAGGGAGCCATTTTGTGCAATAAACCTGATAGGAAGATGTCTCCAAAAATCTCTCGATGAAAAACACGTTCTTAGAAATTTCCCTATCCAATTCTGCAGATTCAAGGGGCGTCAGTAATCTGGGAGATGGGTCTATAAGCATCTGAATGGCAAGGTCCTTCTCCTAATAACAGTCTGTCATGATCCACCACTCCAACCTAAACAAGACAAAAGGAGGAGTGTGCATAGCAGAAGAGGGCAAAGAAGGTAGGAGACACCATGAGCTTACTGCAGCCTCAGCATGTGCCTTTCTCCCCTGTGTTGCTCTTGACAAAGAGAGAAGACAGTGCAAAGGAAGGGAGATGGTGGATCATAACCTCTGAACACAGATATTTTTGGTGCCCCATATTCTTTTGCCTTATAAAATCCCCAAAATGATGCTTTCTGCCCCCAGTCCCTACTGGGATAGCAGTGTGGCTGCATATCAATAGTCAGCTCAGCCTCATGTGCTAGATGCCAGGAAGTGGACCTAGTGCTCAAACTGCCCTGAAGGATTCTTCCTTCTGCCTGCCAGTGGCTCCGAGGCTGTTAAACTTGATCTTCCTACTCAAAGGTGGCATACTTCAGATTAGCAGGTGGCCTCAAAGGAGCAAAGATAGGCACAGAAGTCAGAGCTAGCCCGGGCCAGACAAAATTTTCAAACACATCCTGCCTTTACATGAAGGAATGTTTTTGACTGCTCCACCCTACAGGGGAAAGATAAGAAGATGTAAACATCAGTCACAGAGAGAAGAAAGGTATACTCAGATGACAGGGCCTTTTCTACTGGTGGCTCCTGTGGCAGGCCAGGAGCTTCTCAAAAAGCAAATAAACAGGTAAGGTCACCACTTTGCTTGTTGTTGCACTGCCTTGAATAATTTTTATTCACTGTTTTTTTATATTCTCTACCAAGAATCCTCAGATAAAATCAAGACCCTACTGCACAGATTTGGAACATCCCTGACACCGGCTCTGGCCGTACTGTATGCCCACACAACACGCAGGAGAAGAAGAAATAGGGTGCTGTCTACAGACAAGGATCTAAGGCAGAAAGACATGGAATAACTCAGCCATGGTTATGTCAAGAGTTAGCGGCAGTCAGTAGTTCACTAATAGCAACTTCAGTCTTTGTCCAGAGCTTGAATCATAAACTCCTCCATTTTCCTACAACCCAAAAATAGAACATGGGCAAGCAGTGTCAAGAAGTTTGATATATAAATGGGAAATAAAAGTCAGAAGTTAAATGATCAAGATGTTGACATGTCCTCCAAATATTATTGCATTGACACAACATTGTGGGCAAGGGTTCTCCACAGCTTTAATAATTTTAATTTCAGAAATCTTAATCACATTTGTGTGAAGGGGTTTTGACTCCTCAGAATAAATAAAAACAAATTAACAGTATGCTCCCCACTGCTGAGCTGCTGGGCCCCCATCCAGGATTTCTGCTTTTTCCCAGCAACAGTGGGTGACGCTGCAGGTATCGGAGTAGAGCATGGTCCAGCAACACCTGGAGAGCCAAATTGGTTTGGAGCTGCAGTCAGAGAACAAGGGAGCCAGTTAAATAAAGGAGGAAATTGTCCCAAACACTGCTCCTTTCAAAAAAAGAAAAGAGTTTAAATTCATACAGCCTCTCTCTGATCAGGTTACGTGAGCAGTGTCCAGCGTGTAAGAACCTCACAGATGTTAAAGAAAGAGAGGAGAAATTAAACTCAGTTTGGGTAACAATTTCTGAGGTTGTAGCTGCATATTTGCCTAGAGCATCCCACCCCTCCAAACACAGAATGTTACCATGGTGACAAATTTCAGCTGTAGGTAAGGAACTGTTTCTGTATGAGAGCCATTTTGTAGAAATATAAAACCTAAAGATTAAGCCCCATTGCACCATTTATAATCTTCGTTGCCACATATTCACAACTAGATGAGCTTTCTTGTCTCAAGAACAGTTAACAAAAATGCAGATAAAGCTGCTTTGTTTTAATTCATGTGTTCTGCTAATGGAACTCATCTCCGTACAGTAAAATAACACTCTCAAATTCAGCAAAAAATGTAGGTATTCATTTGCTTCCAAATTGTGTCTAAGGGAGTTATTAATACTTTTGATTCTCAGAAGACAGATCTATTCCATTGCTTGACTGTGAATTACAAGAAAATTACCTTAAATCCTGCTTGGATCCAATTCATAGCACCTTAAGCACAGCAAGTCCCCAGTGCAGCCTGCATCACACAAGCACGGCAGGGAGCCAAGCACAGCTCGTATTGTAGATTTCCTCCCAGTAACTTAGGAGAAGGTTACAGCCCAATGATCACGTGTTCAACCAGGCCTAAATCATAGATCAGTTTATGAAAGCCATCACAATAAACTCCCTCTCTTCCCATCCTAGGATTCCTAAGTAACTGGCATGTTCTAAGGTGCCATTTCATCAGTTGTCCCAGCCTGAGCAGTTCTGTTCCTGCTGCTTTAATTTCTCTGAGTCTTAGCACATACACAGGGAGGCACAGAGCCTTGGACCACCATCACCTGGGAGCCAGGGGCAGAGTGCCAGCTGCTAGAAGCTCCTGTGAGATTACTGACCTTAACACTGCTAAAGCTTTGTGGCATTCAATGATGCCTTTCTCTGCAAACTCTTCCTTGCCCCTAGTGTCTCACACAGACACCAACATGCCTGGGGCTGTAAAACCATACCTCACGGCCAGAGCACAGCTAAGTAACACTCTGGCTTT